CCCCCCCTCCCCTCCCCCTTGCATCCCCGTCCATTTACCGAAACCTCAGAAAAGGCGTACCTACCACCCAAAGCTGTGCAACATACGTGTTCGGGCTTCGGGTTTCTGACTATAAGATGGGCGCCCGCATTCGCGCCTTGCTCGTGTTTAGGGTTTAGGGGTTTAGGGTTTAGAGTTTCCGTTTTAGGGCTTAGGGGGAGGACATTGCACGCATCCTTGGCCGACGACTGCTGAATGTACTGGAGAAGCGGGCTGTTCTCTGCAATCTGATCTTCCCAAGTGGCAAGCAGCTTGCATTGTCGTTCCTGGGAGCAAAGCAGTGCAAAGGCCCAGAAGTAGCCCTAAAAAAACGAAATGCCCGATAGTTCTTGGGCATACTTAACGTTTTTGGAGACACACGATTACTCCCTAAGCCCCTCGTAGCTGCCAGGCTCTGGGTCTACAACTTTTGCCGGCTGACTCAAACCCTAAACCCTAAACCCTGAACCCTGAACCCTAAACCCTAAACCCTAAACCGCCCCAAAAGGGGTTGGTGCGGCGCCGGTTTGGGGTCTACCTGCCTACTCCATGAGTACGGTGGATCATCCTTCTGTAGGTGCATTGCAATTATTAAGGGTGTATTGAGACATGTCTATCTCACACCTTGAACCCTAAACCCTAAACCCTACACCCTAAACCCTAAACCCTCAATCCCTAAACCCTAAAACGAATTTAGGGGTTGGGGCCTACGGCTTAACGAAGGACAGTGGGGCTCGAACTCCTCTCTGAGCATTTCCCAACAGGGTACCCCCCCAAGTAAACCTCCCTACAACACGATCGCCGTTATTCTCAGGATCCCGGCCAAAACAGGCACCCACACCCTCAAAACCTTCTGAACCCTAAATCCCTAAGCCCTTAACCCTATAAGCCCTAATTTGGGAAACCCCCCCCCCCCCCCCCCCCCCCCAACCACCCATTTCCACGTAGACCAGGACGAAGGTTCTAAGCCATCCTCGAGAGCACCCCCACGAGCCCAGACAGGAGCCCACCCAGGGTGATGAACTGCCTCGGGTTGAGGGCTTTTTTTAGGGTTTGTAGGGGTTATAGGTATTATAGGGCTTATAGTGTTGTTTTAGGGTTTATAGGGTTTCTTTTTAGGGTTTATGGTCTATAGGGTTTATAGGGTTTGTAGGGTTTGTAGGGTTTATAGGGTTTATGCCCACCCAGGATGAGGTAGGTGTTGAGGGTTTATGTTGGGCTTAGGTGTTTTCAGGGTTTAGGGCTTACAGGGCTTGTGTTGGGCTCAGGGGTTTTTCAGGGTTTAGGGTTTAGAGTTGAGGGTTTATGTTGGGCTCAAAGTTCTTTTTAGGGTTGAGGGGTTTATAGGGCTGAGGGTTTAGGGTTTATAGGGTTTAGATGGCTTAGGAGGGTTTATGTTGGGTGTTGAGGGTCTAGGATGGCCCCTAAAACCATCTGAATAAATATTCCTACATGAGATTCCTCTTAAGTCCGATAGGGGAAAATAGGAAAATGTGCCCAGGGCCTGCCTAGGGTTTAGGGGTTTAGGGATCAGGCAGGGCTCATGTTGGGCTTAAGGGTGCTTATAGGGCTCAGGGTTACGATCGATTTTGTGGCAAACAATATACAGGATCCGTTCCCTCCGGCAGCATCCGTTCCCTCCGGCAGCAACGGGGCCGCGAAGATCGAGGAAAAATCGTACGAAGTGTGAACTGCTTTAGGGTTGAGGGTTTAGGGTTTAGGGTTTAGGGTTTGACCATGGCTGATGTTTTGCCGATGGTAAGCTTTGCCAAAAATCCCGAAGCTAACGACTTTCGAATGAAGTAACTACATTTGGGATGCACAGAAGCTAGATAGTTAATAGCCTGATTTGGGATTTTCATAACTTGCAGAGGCCAGGCACTTCAAGAACATCTCCCGCGTCAGGCGCGCGTCCTTCACAAAGAAGCCGGCAGAACTGTTGGTGATGAAGTGCACCTGCTGGATACGCCCTAGACTAGTTCATGGTTGGGATAGCATTAAAACATTAAATGCACATTCCTTATTGGGTTTAAGTACCCTCAAACATGTAAAATGTTACCCAACTGGGACAAAGCAGACCCTGCCCAGAGCACGCCCTGCCTGGCTCAGACTGAAGCTTCATTAAATCGGACATGGAACCGCGTGGGTCTATTTACCCAAAGGCTCCTATGTAGTACCTTCTTGGGGTAGTATACTAGAATCCCCTCTAACTAACCCAAAAAGGAACTACATAGGAGCCTTTGGGTAAGAGTATTACGGCGGACTTAGGTACCCAAAACCTAAACCCTAAACTCCATAGAACCCGGAAGCCGAAACCATCCGGCAATACATCCTAAGGCTTTGGGTGCTGAGCCTGGCTCCATACTGGGATAGGGGACCCTCCCGAGGAACTTTCAACGACCAATCAGTGGGGCAAGAGCACTACCCAAGGCCGAGCCCCACATCCCGAACACTCCTCGGCTCTCGAAACTTTTTCACAGAAACCCTCTACAACTTTGAAAAAACCCTCAGAGTCCTTGAGGGCTCGCACTCATGGCTTGCAAGACTGCCACAAGATTTGGGGGGGTGCACTCTTAGCGCCCCCCAGCGCCGGAACTTCGCCTGATCAAAACTTCGACGCGGGAGAGTTTTTGAACGCGCGTGTCATGGAACCCGAACCACGAAACCCTCGACCAAGCCCAAAGCATACCAAATGCAACATAGGCGCCAGATAGGACCGTTCAGCGTCCTCGGCTGGAAAAAAAGAGAAACATGTCCCAGAAAAGACCCGGGACCGCCCGGAGCAAGCCTAAATCTCAGGGGATCGAGAACACGCAGCGAGGACGCATATATCACAAGGTGTAACTGGGCCCAAAAAAGCCCGAAAACAGGAGTCGTTGCACCCCAAAAGTGCAGGTTGCAAGGCTAAACGCAGGGACCTGGGGAGACTCTTCCACTCGAAGCCGAAACAAGCCTTGAGTCGTCCTTCAAGCATCCAGGGTTACAACCAACCTTCCGAGACCCAAGAGGAACATAGGGATGAAAAGGGTATCCTTTTTTGGTTCAAAAAGGCTTGCAAGGGAACCTAAACCTGAAAAGAGGGAATAAGGGGCCTACTCTTGGTCCTAGCTTCAGCATCCCTGAACCCTACACCCTCAATCCTTTAACCGTAGGTCCATGGACGAAAGCTTAATTGAGCCAAGTGTCTACCGGATCTGGAGATGGGATCTGGTTCACGAAGGCCGGAATCTGCCGGCATTTTTCAGTAAGAGCTGCACCATGCGCACACACCTTCCAGCACCGACCATTTAGGGTTCAGGGTTTAGGGTTTAGGGTTCAGGGTTCAGGGTTCAGGGTTTAGGGTTTAGGTTTAGGGTTTAGGGCCCCCAAGGCGTTGAGGTTCCCAACAGAGTTCACTCACAGCCGCATGCGCTTGACGTGACTCCCGGCTGTGCAAGAGAATGAAGGGCTCCTATGTAGTTCCTTTTTGGGTTCGTTAGAGGGGATTCCCAGTATACTACTCCCAAAAAGGTACTATACATAGGAGCCTTTGGGGAGTGACACAGAGAGACAGAGAGAGAGAGAGAGAGAGAGAGAGAGAAAGAGAGAGAGAGAGAGAAAGAAACAAATAGAGCGGAGCATGCGCCCGTGTGTCTATTCGTCTGTGCGACGTGTGTAGGAAGTTTACTAGGCCATGGCAAGAAGAATAGCGGCTCTGCTGTGAGTCAGTCAATCCAAACATGCCTGAATCAAGAGTCTTGAGGCATCTTGACATGACAAAGAGAAAGGGCAATCAACCATTTAGGAAACGATGAAATGGAAAGAAACTGAGAGGAAGAGACAGAGACATTGAGAGAGAGAGAGAGTGAGAGAGAGATAACATTGGACATTGGCAAAAAAACACCGAAGCCTTTTAGGACAGTGAGCTTTAGACATTCCTCAGCCCCGAGACCCCCGAAGATGAACTTCCTGATGCCCTTCCTTGGGCACCCGGTTCGCACTTTTCAGTCGCTGTTTGTATCATAGCTGTGGACGCAAGAGGGCCTGTCGTTTCGAGAACTCATCCTCAACCTATGGGCTGGGGCTCGGGAAAAGGTTGGCCCTTCACCTAAGACTCTTACGGTTTAGGGTCTAGGATGGAGGGTTTAGGCCCTTCTGACTGCCCGCGCGAGGCACGCGCATATTCACCAGGAACAGAAACAGCAGAGGCAGGGCCGACATCTCGAAAGCAAACATATCCTCAGATCACGTCTTGAGGGCGGGCTGAGGGCTTAGACCCTTAGTTGCACTTGCCTTTGGGTGTACCTTCCCTGAACCCTGAACCCTGAATCCTACACCCCAAACCCTGAACCTCTGCTTATGAGAACTGCAACTCAGCGTGTGGTTTACGCACCCCTCTTCGGGTGTAAAAGGGCTCAGATTCAAAGAACGGCATTGGACATGGGAACCCTGCACACGAAACCAAGGACCAGAAAAAAAACCTGAACCCTTCACTCCTCGCTTTGGGTTGAGGACACTTCAGAGCAACCTCGTGCTTTACCATTCAAGAGCTTTAAGGCTGTATCTTCAGGGGAAAGCATGTCGGTGATCGAATACATAGGGTGTCATAAGAATGGTAGAATGCCACCTCAAATGGGGTGCAAAACGGTACTCAAGCCACATGTACCTTGTGTAAGGGGTACCAGTTTGGCGAGCAAGTCGCGAGTCTCTGCAAGCTGACATGGCCTATGGGAGCTTCCTGTTGAACCAGGCGAGTGCTTTGAGCCCCCAACCCTGCAAAGTCTCGAAGCCCCTTGGGCCGTAGAAATCCTAAACCCTAGGGCGCTCGCAGTCTGCGGTAAGACTCCGTGAGATGCATGTAGCTTCAGGTTCTGTACATGGACAGCAACCCAGAAAACCCTAAGCTCGAACCCTGGGCACCCATACCAAGCCAAGCGGTTCAAGCGGGCCCCCAAGACATCATCACGACTTGTGGGAGTGTGACGAACTCAGGTTCGAGGTGTTTAGTCGCCACTGACAGCCGAAGGAGCAAAGCGAAAACCTCGGCTCGGACTGCTGGGGTTGAGGGTTTAGGCTTTAAGGTTTAGGGTTGAGGGTTATATAGGCCTCTCGGAGATTAATTCCCTAACTAGCTTGTATGCTTACAAAGGGGAAGTGTGCCTCATTTTTGGGCTGACCTTGCTTTTCTTTAATCCGTCCCCTAAAGCCTGCACCCCGAAAGGTTACTCTAGGTATGTGTAAGAGTTCGGCAGCCCATTCTGCTTGAGTACGGGGGCTGAAGACCACAAACCCAGCCCCCAAACCCAAAGCCCTTCAAACACAAAGAATAGCCCTGAACCCTAGACCCTAAACCCTAAAGCCCTAAACAAGAAAGAGCCAAGGGATGTGCCAACAAAAAACCCTGCAAACCCCAACCCCTTGATTCCACGCCTCCGAAAACGCCGACAGCCCCTAAACCCTGAACCCTAAACTCTAAGCCCTGAACCCTATACACCCTGAAAGAACTGATCCTGGGGGGTGGGGTCTCGGGTTCAACGGCTTAGGGATTCAGGGCTGTAGGGCTCCGGCTTGAGGGGTCTGCGACTTTTGGCGGTCTAGGGCCCTCTTTTAGGGCTTCGGGTTTAGGGCTTAGGGTGTGGGGTGAAGGGTCTAGGGGGCGAGGGCTCCACAGCCTAAACCACCCAAGCCCTGTAGCCTTAAGCCCAAAAGTTTGCTCAGATTTCGTGCTCGTGCTCACAAAGCTGAACCTTCGAAGTTTATGATTTGGGGTTTTCGGGCCTTCATGGTATTGGGAAATAGGGCTTCACAGGGTTTAGGGCCACGACTTGTTGAAGTTTGACGGTTTTTTTGGGGCACTTGTCCTTAAACAAGAAGGGCAGGCGTCCCATGTGAAAGGCAGTGGTGACTGCGCTGGTCAAAAAGTACACCAAGCCCACAGCACCAAGAGCCTGGCGGAGGTCACGTGCTTACCCTACGGGTCCATGTACCTATATAGTATATACTTGGGCCTTAAAAGGGTTCTCAGCAAAGTAGCTTTAGGACCCACGTATATACGATATAGGTACATGGACCCTTAGGGTTAGGGTTTAGAGGTTTGGAGTTTAGGATTTACCTACAGCAACCTTCTACCTGTAACAGGGGGTACGTATAAAGTAAACACCAACAATTCAGGCACACTTCTCTCCTCTAAAGGCTCCTCCGGGTAGGGTTTGAGGTTTCGAGTTTGGGATATTGGAAGAGTTTAAAGCTCTCCCTTGATTCTCCTTCAAGCTGCAGGAACCCTACACTTCACCCCGAAACCCGAAACCCGAAACCCTGAACCCTAGACCCTATGGTCCCTAAACCCTCAAACACAAAGTCACGCTTTTGAGCTGAGAGCTTGGGATGCCGTGTTTGGGGTATAAGGCGTAGGGTTTAGGGAAACTCTTGCCCTAAACCCCAAACCCCCTAACCCTAAACCCAAAACCCTAGGCCCTAAACCCGAAACCCTAAACCCCAAGCCCCAAACCCGAAACCCCTACTGTAAACCCTCTGGGCCGGCCCAAGCTTGTGCCTGCGTCATGACGAAAGCGTTGCCAAGCTCCCGCCCGATGCACTTGAGAAGGGCTTGCCTTTTTTTCTAAGGGTCCCTAAACCCTAAACCCTAAACCCCAAACCCTAAACCCTAAAACCTCTATAGTATATACTTTGATTCTGCGGACATGTTTGAAAAGAGTACGCTGACTTGCCGGCATCTAGGTCAGGCCGCAAGCACCAAATCAATCCCTCATTTTGCAGCTGTCAAGGTAGCTTTGTTGAATGTTTTAGGGTTTAGTTTCGTTTTTTGCTTTTAACTGAGGCTTAGGGTTTTTTGGGGCGTTTAGGGATTTTGATACTTTTCAAGGTCTTGAAATTAGTTTATGGCTCAGCTTTTTTTCGGCACGGGCCCCTCATGAAGGGCTTTTTTCGGCCATCCAGCCGGCATGCATTAATCTTTGCGGTTCTACTTTTTGGAGCTGTGTGCTCCGGCTGCAAAGGTTTTTAAGATCCCCCCCACACCCGCATAAAAAACGGCTCCTTGATTTCTCACTCGGTTTTGGACCTCATCTTGATGTACACCAATCATTGCTTTATGATGACTCACACACTCCAACCCCCTAAGGGTTTTTTTGGGGTTTAGGGCTTCGGGGTCTAGGGGTTTAGGGATTTAGGGCTTGGGGGTTTAGGGGATTGAGGGTTTTGGAGGGCTTTTCTGGGCGTGAGGATGCCGTGAGCAACGGCCAAAGGCTTCAATGATTCAACTTCGGCTTAGGGTTTAGGGTTTCGGGTTTTAAACCCTAAACCCTAAACCCTAAACCCTAAACCCTAAACCCTAAACCCTAAACCCTAAACCCTAAACCTTAGGGTTTAAGGCTTGATTGGGTGATTTCGCAGCTTCAGCTTCAGCTTCTGGGCATCCTGTACCCGTATTTTGTGGCCGAATTGGGGGGTTTCCGAAAATAGGGTACCTTCTTGGGGTCCTTATTGCAAGGGAATCCTACTCTGTGGGGGCCGTGAGGGGGGGGGGGGGTTGTATATTGGGGGTCCCTCATTTTCGCAAACCCCTACCCCGTTTTGTGTGTGGAATGGGGGTGGGTTATTACTTTGTCTTTCCCTGCTTCGGCTAAATTATACGCAATTTCGACGTCCCAGTTTAGGGTTTTTGCGTTTAATTTAAGGAACGGGCGCGCGACCAAGTTGTGTGATTGCGGGCGCGCTGGGCTGCGATGCTCATTGCGCAAGGATGGCTTTTCCCGGGGAGAGCCCTGGTACTGTCCGTCGTTTTAGTCTCAATGTCGGCAATGTCGGCAATACTGCATAGAGCTCACAGGTATACGCGGCTGCCTTTGACTGGTTGAAGCACTTCTCTTTTTGCTTTTTAAAGTTTAGAGAATGGGGCCTCTAGATCAGGCAAACCTGGGCAGATGGTTTCAATCGTGCAGTGCAGGAAGCCGATTCAATTTCAGTAGGAAGCACGGCACGCACAAGCCCAGGCAAGTGCTGCGCTGGTCTTTGTGTGGAGTCTAGGTTTCGGGGATTTTTTTGCATCCAAGCAGATTCTGTTGTACTGCATATTCTGTCTAACCGTATGTATACAGATGCACGTACATATAAAAAGATATGTACTGAGCTATATATATATATATGTTATAGTATCTACAACATGCTGTATATGTAGATTACATATATGTTTACACATATACATTTCTTTTGGCTTAGTTGTATTATGTACTATAAACTAATGCAAATGCGAAAAGAATACAAACACATGCGTAAGGACAATGCTTTCAGACAAGGGTATGTATATGTGCAAGCCTCCCAACAAATTAAGAAAAGCTCGAGTATTACAAACACAGTAGGGATTGTGGTTTAGGGATTTAAGGTTGAGGGTTTCAGATTTAGATTTAGGGTTTAAAGATCATTTAATATTCATAGGATATAGGGCTTGTGGTGTTCAGACTTCTATCTCTAGAGAATAGTACGTCAAAACACCCCGGCAAATATACTACTTTTATTGGGTCTTCTGCGTACTTCTAATACTAGTATTTCATGCGGCTCAACAACAAAGCTGATTATTCTCCACTGAGCATGTGATGGCACCATTCTTCTTGAGGCAAAAACCGATAGATGTCCCTGCAGGCACGCAAGTCTATACTTCTCTCTCTCTCTCATATATATATATGTATATATATATATAACCTGCTGTATTTTGCATAATGCATATTGTACGGTGCATGTCATATGTAATATGTTGAAGTGGTACATACGATGCTGGTATACATGATTCAGCCCAAAGGTTCACATGTCGTACTAGTTTCGACTTCAGAAAATACTTGCGAATATTTCTGCGGTACCAAAAACTGTGCCCTAAACTTTCATGCAAACTCTGCACCCAAAACCTCTAAACTCGAAACTTCCAAGCCGCAATTCCCGAAACCTCTAGACCCCAAGTCCCTTTTAAGCGGCCAGTTACAAGCAATTCCAGCTCTGGACCCCGATCACGAAGTCTCCTTCATCAAGGAGTATGCAGCACCAGCAGTCTAAGCTCCTTCGATGGGGCTTACTTGGAGGTTCATGGCCAGTTATAAGATTAGAAGTCGGGGAACTATAGCTATTACTGGTTATAGCCTGATTTCGGGTCTTATAAACCTTCCTACATCTACCCATGAACCTTCAAGTAGAGGTGTTAAGGGCTTCTTTGGGTTTAGGGGAAATGTTCTATTGGTTCTTGTTGTGTCGCTTTGTTTGAGCGGAGGGCCTGGGTATAGGGTTTGCCTTATAACCCCAAAACCAAATTTCTAGGTCCTTCTTCTAGCAACCCCTTCTAGGATTCTTAGGTAACCTACAAAGAAGTAGGTTGTGGGTTCTTACGGTAAGGTTTGGGGCTGGTGCAGGCGACCCTCTCCCACAGCGATGTGCAACTACGGGGTCTGGGAGATGACTATCTTGCGATGCCCTGCGGCATACGGATTCTCTCCAGCTCATGAAGGCGATACCCTTTAAATCATAAAAAAAGAGGCGCATATCGCTGCCCTAAACACTAAACCCCAACCCTAGACCCTAAACCCTGTGGCCTTTGTACCCTTTCGAAAGGGGAAGTGTTTGGAAGGCACAGAGCGAAAAGTAACCTGAGCCTCACATTTGTTACATTTATGTTGGGATGCTCCCCCTTCTACTAACAGTCCTTACCAGGGATTCTAGTGCATTAGGCCCTATTAAGGACTGTTAGTATAAGTGGGAACATCCCAACATTTATAGATGGTGTGGGAATTGTAATATTCGGCGGGCCCAGGGATCCCTGTCCAAGACTACCTTTCCATTAGGAGACGGATCTTGGCTCATATGTCTAAAGTGATCGACATAAGAGGGTCCGGTGAAAATAGCAATGGGGTGACAATTATCAAAAATAGGCTGGGGGCGGGGGGGGGGGGGGGTTATAAACGTGACCTAAGCGGCAAGAGCCGAAGTAGGCCCAAGCCCTCGATCCCAAAACAGCCTCCTAAACCCCAAACCCTCAACTCCAAACACCTAAACCCTAAACCATAAACCCTAAACCCTGAACCTTCAACCCTCTCTGGGCCGCGGCGCTTGTCCAAGCCCATGAGGATATGAGATAGGACAGACGAGCCCAGAATTACCAGGGCGCTGGAGATGGCAAAGATGGCAACCGAGACTATCTGGGTAGGTCGGGGGGTTTAGGGTTAGGGTTTTGGAGTTTAGGGTTTCGGGTTTACGGTTTCGGGTTTAGGGTTTAGGGTTGAGGGTTTAGGGTTGAGGGTGTAGGGTTTGAGATGCGAGGTTAGTAATGAACGGAGAGTATCTGAGTAGGGTGGGTTTAAGGAGTTTAGGGCTTAGGGTTTGAGATTTGAGGTAAGAAATGACCGGAGAGGATCTGAGTAGGTTGGGTTTAAGGAATATAGGTTTGAGGGTTTAGGGTTTGAGGTTCGAGGTTAAAAATGAACACACAGGTTTAGATGTTAAGCAGATCTACTAATTGCTTAAGAACCCCGAAAAATAAAACTGTTCTTACCTATTAAGGGAAAATAGGGATGATTACTTTGATATTCTTTTGGGGTTCTTGAGCACATAGTAATTAGTGATGGACTTCGGATTGAGAGGTTCAGAGGTTTAGTAGCCTCTGAGTCCGGACCCTCTCCGTTAGAAGTTGAAGTGAAGTGCCCTAACCCCTAAACCCTGTTTAAACCCTAAACCCTAAACCCTAAACCCTAGAAACCCTAGAAACCCTAGAAACCCTAGAAACCCTAGAAACCCTAGAAACCCTAGAAACCCTAGAAACCCTAGAAACCCTAGAAACCCTAGAAACCCTAGAAACCCTAGAAACCCTAAAAACCCTGAGCCCTAAACCCTAAACCCTAAACCCGAAGGTGCGGGATATCGGGTGTTAGGTCTCGGCATGGAGGCTGAGCTTGGAGTTGCAAGGACAGGATCTTCTTCAGGTTTCAGGGCTTCTGGTTCAGGGGGGTTTAGCGTTTAAGGCCTTTCGCCTGCAGTTTTGTGGGGGTAGTTGAGGCGCAGCTCCTGCGAAACTGCAGGTTGCAAACAATGCAGGCAGGGTTTAGGCCCGCATCGTCCTGGTGGGGAGTGTAGTTGTTGTGGCTTGTGGTAAGAGATTTCATGGCAACCTAAACTAGGATGGCCCTTGAGACCCTCTAAAAAACTATTCCTGAATATGATCCTCTTAAACCCAAAAAAGGAAAAGATAAAATGTCCCAAGGGCCTACTGAGTAAGCTACCCGAACCATATAGGGCAGAGGGCAGGAGTTACTTAATCCCTGTTCCCCTGGGAAGAAAAAAGGATCCTTTTTGTTTATATGTAAGAAAGCCCATAACCCAAAAAGCAAAAAGGATCCCGAACACTGATTTAGGTTAGTGTTGAACCGTGCAGCCGACAGTGCTCGTCTCAGGGACAACAGCACCTCGGGCACCGGGTCACCAGGCGGTTTGATCGCATCCCCAGCCCAAAGCTGCTAAACTCCTAAAACCCCTGGGATGCCCTAAACCCTAAACCCTAAACCCTAAACCCCAAACCCCAAACCGCATAACCCTAAGTACTTAGGGGATAGGATTAGGGGGACCCTTGGGGATATAGACCCTCTGAATAAGGCCCCTGCTTAAGAGTGCCAGAAGAGGGTTAAGAAGTGTTCCCTTTTGAGGGACCCCCCCCCCCCTTCTCCTACCAAGGAAAATTCCTAGGAACCCTCAAGGGCCGAAAGCCCATCAGCCATGCAAATCCTACAGCAATAACCCTCAGATCACACTCTGCGGATGTCAATAGGGGCTTCTGGGGGAACAGGAAAGTACACGGATGTTTGGGTTTTTTGGTTCGCACATGCTCCGAAGACTGGGTGAGGCTTGCTTAGGCTCTTGAACCTCAGGGAATCCGGCGGCAACAGGCGCAGGGACCACAAGCTCTACTGAGGCAAATATAGACGCACACGACCCCGACGCCTAGAGCGCGATGTTAGTCTTCGAATTTAACACGTAGATCCCCCATACTGCAAGTGCAACCATCACTGGGGGTAGATTCCCACATCAAAGGATCTTGCGGGCTTCTGTGGGGGCTTCTTCAGGCCCTACTTGGGAGAATATGAGGCCCTCACGCCCCCCCCCCCCCCCCCAGGGAAAGAACCCGAGATACTGGGGTTTAGGGGTTTAGGGTTTTAGGGTTCAGAAAGGACTGTTGTGAGGCGGAGTTGTTGGGTAGTTTTCAGTCATTTAATAAGGTTTAGGGGTTAGTAAACGCTTACAACTTTAAACTTATGGCCTCACAACAGTCCATTCATAAGTGGGAGTCTTGACCATGATGTTTGGCATACATGATTTGGGGGGGGGGGGGAGGGGGGGGGAGGGGGGGGGGAGGGGGGGGGGGAGGGGGTCCTTGGAAGTTGGCCCATCTTGGCAGGAGTCCCCCCCCCCCCCCTCAAGCGTAACAGCCGTAGCTGTGCCACAGTTGGTTTGCTTTCACGTATTTCCAGACCTGTTATTCGGAAGTTCCCTGCTTTCGAAACACAGCCTTTGTTTCGAAACACAGCCCCTGTTTCGAAACATGGATGTCACAGCCACAACTGCTTCACAAAACGATATCCAATCTCACCTTGGTTCCAGCGCTATATCTGAAGGTTGCGATGTCACATGTGCGAATAAAAGGATATCTGCTCATAGTATTCTCGCGTCCCCGGGGCCTACAGGACATGTCTTGATGATGTGGGTGCTAATAATGTAGGGTTATAAGGTTAAAAATCCTATAGAGTTTAGCGTTATGACCCTAAACCCTATATGCTTTAAGGCTTAAGGAAAACAGTAAAGTGGTTAAATCACTGAGGGACTAGGGTTACGTTTTTGCAATGCCCTAAACCTTAAACTCTAAACCTTTAACCTCTTATAGGGTTTAAACCCTAAAGGGCTAACCCGGTAGGGTAGATAAACCCTGACCCGAAAGGGGCCCTATAGGGTTTAAGGCTTAACCTAGTTTGAATGCCCAAACTTAAATTTAAATCCCCAGGCCTTAAACCTCTGAAAACCTTATAGGGCTTAAAGGCTTTAATGCCTAAACCTGATGTATTCAAGGTCTGGGCATTTATACATTCAGCATTAGAACCCTAAACCCTTTATGCTGTAAGGCTTAAGGAAAACAGTAGGATTTAAGCCTCAAGGCCTATAATATGAGGTTATAAGGTTCTAATCCTATAGAGTTTAGCGTTATAACCCTAAACCCTATATGCTTTAATTAAGGCTTAAGGAAAACAGTAAAATGATTAAATCCCTGAGGGTCTAAGGTTACGTTTTTGCAATGCCCTAAACCTTAAACTCTAAACCTTTAACCTCTTACAGGGTAGTATAAATCCTATAGGGTTAAACCTTTAAAAACCTTATAGTGCTTAAATGTTTTAATGCCTAAACCTGATGTTCCTAAGGTGTGGGCATTTATACCTTCAGCGTTATAACCCTAAACCCTATCTGCTGTAAAGCTTAAGGTAAACAGTAGGGTTTAAGTCTCAAGGCCTATAATATGGGGTTGTATCAAAACCCCGCGCAGTCGATTTTGAAACGAATTGCCCGAAGCGTTTGGGCCGTGCTTCTGACTCGTAAAACGATAATCAAGAAAATAAACCGATAACTTTGTAGTAACAGGGCGGGCAGGCGCTATTCCAGTGATAAGCTTGTACTACAAATACATGAAAACATTGAAAACCCAGCCTGCTCAGCTTGCACTACAAATCAACGGAAACCTAGCCGGTTTCAGTACTAAGCTTGTACAACAAATCAATGAAAACCCAGCCTGCTCAGGGGCACGTCCGTTCCAGTACTGAGCTTGTACTACAAATCAACGAAAACCCAATCGGCTCACGGGAACGTCGGTTCCAGTACTAAGCTTGCAGGATGAATAGATTTAATTCGGGGTTTTTATACAACCCCATATAGGGTTGTAAGGTTCTTATCCTATAGAGTTTAGCGTTATAACCCTAAACCCAAACACTATATGCTTTCAGGCTTAAGGAAAACAGTAAAGTGATTTAATCCCTGAGGGTTACGTTTTTGCAATGCCCTAAACCTTAAACTCTAAACCTTTAACTTCTTATAGGGTTTAAACGCTATAGGGCTGCACTATAGGGTTTAAGGTTTAACCTAGGTTGAATGCCCAAACCTGAATTTAATTCAACCTTTAAACGCCTTATAAGGCTTAAAGGTTTTAATGTCTAAACCTGATGCACCTAAGGTCAGGGCATTTATACCGTCGGCGTTATAACCCTCAACCCTCGTACATCTGCTTTGCACTCGCAACAAAATCAACTTCATCCAAAACACTGCATCACATTCAAAAAAACTCCGCCTCACAACAGTCCCCTCTCTTAGGGTTTTGGGTTCAGGGTTTAGGGTTTAGGGTTTGGGCTCCAGTGCTTCTCAGGGTTTCACAGCGGTTCACGGTTCATCTTCGGGAGAAGACATGCGCAATATGAACTCTGGCCTCAGAGTACAAGAGCCCGAAACCATGCTTTTCTTAGAACCGTAGTAAAAATAATGTTTCTAATATCCTCTTGGGTCTTACATAAACAAAAATAACAAAAAAAACCAAGGGGGGATATAGAAACCCCTCCCCCCCCCCCACCATGCCTCTGGGTCTGGGGCTGCGGGATCTGAACTTGCTTCCAGAGGTTGCAGTTCCTGTCAGGGTTCTTTGGGTTTAGGGTTTAGGGTTTAGGGTTTAGGGTTTAGGGTTTAGGGTTTAGGGTTTAGGGTTTAGGGTTCTGGGTTTAGGATTTAGGGTTCTTTGGGTTTAGGGTTCAGGGCTTAGGGCTTGTTGGGATCGAGGGCTGGTAAAGGTTTGAGGATGAAGGTTCTCCTGGGAGCGGTTTTGAATTTGAGGCTTTTGTTTGGGCCTTATCGTTGTTTAGGGCTTCAGGGCTTGCAGGGGCTTAGGTCCCTAAAACCCTAGAACCCTAAAACCCTAAAACTCTAAAACCCTAAAACCCTCATACCCTAAAACCCTCAATTTCCTCAAACCCTCAAACCCTAAAACCCTCAATTTCCTCAAACCCTCAAACCCTAAACCCCAAAAACCCTAAAATCTTAAATCCTACAACCCTGCACCCTAAACGGTGCCGAGCTGCTTTTCCCCAGTTTTGTGCAGAGTTTTTCGAGAGATCCGGAGCCATCCACAAGGCTTGTCGCTCGAAGGGCTCGAAGGGGGTTCGGGTTAAGGATTTGGGGAGTACGGTGCTTCGGATGGCCCTTAACAACCCTTTGAACAAATATTCCTGAAAAGGACCCTCTTAAACCCAACAAGGGAATTACGTAACATGAAGTACGTGACATGTCCCAGGGCCCGGTTGCCTCCGTACCCTTAAAAGGGGGAAGCGTGCCTCAACTATTGATCTACTTCACTCTTTTTGAAGGCAGAAGAAGGTTCCTCTCGGCTCAAAAGCTGCCTGACGTTTTTCATGGTTTCTCCAACCCTTGAGAAACATTACACCCTATAAACCCTAATTCCTAAACCCTAAACCCTAAACCCTAAACCCTAAAGCCTAAACCCTAAACCCTGAACCCCAGACTGATTGGGGTCATCTTTGACTACCTCGTTGTGGCCATCTGCACAAACCTCGAGACATTCCTCGCTGTTGGCCATGTAGAAAGGCAAAAAGTTTAAAATTGAAAAACACATTCGTGATGTCAGTCAGGTCGAAACATCAAAATGCAACCATCCCTCCCAACCAAATATCCTAAACCCTACACCATGGGCCGCGGGGTGGGGATGTGGGGTGGCCCTAAATCCTAACCCTAAACCCTAAACCCTAAACCCTAAACCCTAAACCCCAAAACCCTACGCCCTAAGCCCTAAATCCTAAACCAATGCTGCCGTCCTCCAGCAGCTGGCCTGCTGCAAAGAACCACCTCAGTCTTTGTTGTTCGGGTTGCTGTGAGCCTTAGGGTTTAGGGTTTTAGGTTTTAGGGTTTAGGGTTTAGGGTTTAGGGTTTAGCTGGAGGAACCTCCTAGCTGGCAAGCTACGCCTCGAAACGACTTCTCCATGAGGTGATGCTCGGGGTTCAGGGTTTAGGGTTTTCGGTCTAGGGTTCAGGGTCCTGCCCTTGTCCAACGTCTTCCTATACTCAAGATGATGGAGCCTGCTAGCTTCTAGGCACCGAAAGCACGGCTCCCCCAAGCCACCAAGGCAGACATTTCCTTACTTACGGAGTAGAAGAGCTTTAAACCCTAAACCGCAGATCTGCTGAAAACTGGGCAAGTTGTGAACTGCAGCAGTAGTTGATGGCCACGGGGGCTGGAGAGTGTTGTTGCTGCGTCCGCATCGTCGGCAAGCCGTACGAACGCAACCCCAAGAATCCGAATCCTCAAGCCCACCTTCAAAGCCCCCAAGAAAGGTCCCTTGCAAGCCCCCAAAGCTTCGAAACATCGGAGACAGCCCCGACGCATTCCACCACGCCACACGACCAAGACCCACATCAAGCCATTCTTCCGCCACTCCTGACTCAGGGCTCGCTTTGCCCTATAAGCCCCAAACCCTAATGTAGGGGCCTTAATGGTTAGAATAGGATTTTGGGGGTTGCTATAGTGAACCTATCCAGGGACCCATAAGGGAATAGTATTCGTACTTCTTCCGACCACTGGATAACGGCCATTGCCTGAACCCAAAGCGCTAAACCGTTTCCTACTGTGGATTTTGAGTGTCTGCGTGCCCTGACTTAACTTCGAGTTCACTCTACCAAAAGGAACCGAAACACCCCGGAGTTGCAACAGGGACTAGGATTCAGGGTGTGGGGTTGCGGATCCTAGAGGAAGTTTATACCCTAAACCCTAAACCCTAAGCCCCAAACCCTAAACCCTAAACCCTAAACCCCAAACCCCAAACCCCAAACCCTAAACCTTCAAGACTATGTGTTGAGGCCTGCCCGGAGACCTTGCTCCATTCGACTTGGAAGTCGGCAACGAACCTTGCTTTCATTTTTGGGTTTTAGGGTCTTGGTACCCCGGTAGCCATATAGAAAAAGGGTTTAGGGTTTAGGGTCTTGGTAGCCCGAGAACCATCTTAAAATAAGGTTGCCCTTTTTTGGGGCTGGTTGCTGTAGAAGGGAACCTTGAACCAAAAAACAACAAAGGGCAATGGGCACCACTGGCCTACTAAGGGGCTTAGGTTTTCAGCTTGGGGGTTTAGGACTTTCGAGCGTTGCAGGGTCTATGGCTCTCAGTGTATTCCTAAGCCCTGAGGGGCCCTGTGCCGAGACCCCAAATCGGGTTTTCAGAGACGCATGCGAGGGTTTCTCATTCTTGTTGATTCAGGCCTGGTTGAATCAGGGTAAGCGTGAGGCTCGGTGTGCCAAACCAGTTTTGAGCAACCACCATGGACCACGACTAGTAAACGCCATGCTCAAAAAATCCTACCTGGAGCAGCCTTTGCACGCATTGGTACCTTTGCAATTCTTATAGGTGGTAGGTTGGCTAGTAAGGCCCGTTATCCTACAGCCAGAGAACACCGATGTTGCAGCGAGGGGGCATGTGCAACTTGCCCAGGGCCAGCATGAGCTCGTCCGTGCGAAGCGCGCGCCTGCATTGCAGCTTCGAGGCCACTTGGGCACTGTAGCACACGATTGACCCCCGAACCTCTGGCCATGATGTGGCGTCCAGCTTCAAGCCGAACTCAAAACGATGCGAATGCTACAGTTGTTTAAGTTTAGGATAACAGGTTTAGTATTTCGTCTAAGCCTAAGCAGGAGGTCGTTGAATTCCATGCAGTTTGGAACTTCCACGCAGTTTGCCGACCTCTTCAACAGGGCGCACACAGAAACCTCTGAAACCCTAAACCCTGTCCACTTCGAAGCACCAAAACCGAAATACCATTCAGGAACTTCGGAGGTTCGAGGTTTCAGGTATGAGGGTTTTAGGGCTAAGGGCTGTTCACTTTGGGGGGAGGTTGTGGGTGTTTAGAGGTTTTTGGGTTTGCGGGCTTAGAGCTGAGGGTTGCAGCAAAGCCGGCTCAAAAGCTCAAAGGGTTGAGATTGCAACCCTAAACCCTAAACCCTAAACCCCAAACCCTAAACCCTAAACCCTAAACCCTAAACCCGGAGCCTGAGGAAGTGAGTGCAGCCGCAGGCTGCTGCGCTGTAGACTGCCACGGAGATCAACGTGGCTTGCATGGTGCTTCCTGACGCGGCAAATAAGCCCTGAGTTTGGGATGGTCCCCCTTGTACTAACAGTCCTGACAGTTCCCCCTATTATAATCCCCATTAAGGACTGTGAGTGTAAGGGGGAACATCCCTTAATAGGGATGACAGTTCCCCCTATTATAATCCCTATGAAGGACTGTGAGTGCACGGGGGAACATCCCAACCCAGAGTCGTTAAGTCACCTCACTGACCTGGAGTGACTTTTCCGCATGTACACATGGTGAGGAGAGAAGTCACGGTGCACTTTTGAAGTGGCATCGCATACACAACTTGCAACACCCAATCCACAAGCACACGCGCTCCCGCACAAACATTGCGGCTGACTGTTGAATTTTGAACGTCTGACGGCCCCACGCGCAAGCGGAAGTGCGTGAATCAAACAGACAGACAGACAGACAGACAGACAGACAGACAGACAGACAGACAGGACGGACGCAGACGGACACACAGACACGATATGGCTTCTCAAGTATATCAAAAAAACCCATGCACAAACTTCATATTGAAGCTGAACCACCCTCCCCCGCGCCACGACCCCACATGATTGCAACTTAGCAATCATTATGATCGCCTTTCAAACGAACAAACCATAATACAATTACTAGGTTCGCAGCTTCATATTTTCCCTCGGGTTGGTGTAAAAGCAAAATTCTCAAGGAGACTGTACTTGTAACCAAAACAGAAACCACATTCGTATCCGGGTTGGAACTTTCATAATACCGGCTTATGAATGCCCTGAAGTTCGACGTGTAGGATTCCGAAGGCGGGGGGGGGGGGGGGGGGTTCAAGGGGGAAGGTGACTAGGGAACGTTGGGAACTTCAAGGGGGTATTTGGGAGTGTTGGGGACTATCTGATGACCCACCCTCTCGCGAGCTGGGGCAGGCTTCGGGAAGCCTGTTTAACCCTAAACCCTCGAGGTTCTACCTTGGACCCTTACTTAAGGTTGTACCCTTGGGTTTTGGGGTCCCTTTTTATGGATCCCTAAGGGAATATAAGGGCCACATTAGGAATGTATTAAGGGGAACCTGTAGGGGTACAACCTTAGGGGTACGAGTCTGAATCTCTTGATAACCCCTACACCCTAAACCCGAAACCCTAAACCCTCAACCCTCAACCCTCAACCCTAAACCCTAAACCCTAAACCCTAACCCCAGAGCCCTAACCCTAAACCCTAAACCCTAACCCCCCCCCCCCCCCCCCCCCCCCCCCCCCCACCACCCGAAAAAGAAAGCAAAACAATGCAAGGAGTCCCGACAGCCAGGTGGTGAGCAACATCACCAGCAGCCTTGGCTTAAGGGAAACTCCTCTACATGCTACAAGTACTTGGTAGCCCAGTAACCGTATCATAGTAAGGGCGCTTTTTTTGGGGTTGGCTAGTTACAAGGAAACCCATAACCCAAAAAGAGTGCCGCTGGGCTACCAAGAGTAAATAGTGTGTTTTGTTGGGAGCGGGTCACTAAGTTAGAGGGTGCCAAGATCCAGAACCCCAGAAGGGACATCGGATGCTGAAACGTGCCAGGGTTTTGGGGGTTATTCTAGTATATTTCTAAAGGAGCCATAAGGGAATGCTACTAGCAAGAACTTCCAACCCTTTAGCCCTAAACCCACCGAGCGGCAGGCCACAATAGCAAAGCGTCAGCAAGCCCAGCATGGGGCACAAAATGCATGGTAAGGACAACCTGGGAAGAGCGGAATTCGGGTTTAGAGGAACCTTTCGCATCCTGCTGGCTTTCAGAAGGTTCCTTAAAGGCAAGTTCATGGCTGGGGTAGCAGTAAAAAAGTTAAGACTTCTATTCCTTCTTGAGTCTAAGTACCCTCCAAAGTGAAAAAAAACATGTTGCCCCACTATGACCAAGAAAACCCACAAACTTGACCCCTTAGAACCTGCCTGCCTTGTCTGGGGATCTGGTTTTGGCCCGCTGTGAGTTGCGAGTGGTCTTGGGGCGGGCATGTCTTCACACTACTGCGTGCAGCTAACCCATGCTATATATATATATACCCTAAACGCTGGGGTTCATGGGGGTAGAATTTCGGGGTGGGGTGAAGGAAGGCTGAGAGGTGACGAACTGAACACAGACGGACAGGAATCAGTCTTTCAGAACAGAAAGCAGGAACCCCGTAGTCTTTAGGCTTTGAGGGGGCCTGTCACCGAACTCACGTGTCTGCCAATTATTCCCTTGGATTCTATCACCTCTTTACACCCTAAACCCTAAACCCTACACCCTAAACCCTAAATCCTGATTCTGCCAATGCGCTAGGGAGCTGAGGGGCTTGGGAAGGCTCAGGCTTTGGAGGCTTTCTTTGGGCATTCAGGTCCTCTTGCGTGCTGCAGGTGTAACTTGGGGACTTAGGGCGACAGCTACAACCCTAGCTCTCAGCTACATTCCACCCCGGGAATCTTCAAGTAGCGCTCGACGGCAGTATGCCCTAAACGCTAAACTCTCAGCAGCTCTGAGCCCGCCAAGCCCTCAATCCGAAGTCCGGGAAGTCGAATAATGCCCCCCCCCCCCTGTCATTCGATAAGGTTTCGGGTCGAGGGTGTAGGGCCTGACTCCTAAACCCCTAAACCCCTTAAACCCTAAACCCTAAACCCTTGAGCCCCAAACCGCAGCCCCGCAGCAAGATCCTTGAGCTCAAGTCGTGGCTGATCTCTGTCCGTAGGGGGCTGTCCATCGACTCGTGGAAACTGAGCAGGCCAGCTGGGGTTCAGGATTTAGGTTTGTAGGGCTCTTGAACCAGGGACTGCCATGGGTCTTCAAGAGATAGACCAATTTGGTCCCCAAACTCCCCATGGCACGAATAGGAAATATGCGTGGGCTCCAAAATCATTAATCAAGGTCCAAGTGTGCCTTTTTTTAGGTACATGGACTCTTACAAGGGGGTATGTTTCGGATTTGTGCAGGGTTTGAGGTCAAAGCCTCACTGCAAGCCATCAGATCAGCAAGTCTCCATGACAATCGCAACATAAGCTCTGGACGTTTATTGAGGCTTTAGAGTGTGCATATACTCGTACACTCAAAATCACCCCTTATAACCATATCGCCTCTTTTGGCTTTGTTGATGTAGTTGTTTGGGTTGCCTCTCTCTCTCTGTCACGCTTTCTGGTTCATCCGGCTATTGTTGAAGTTGCACATCTGTCACTGAGCTTTTATGGCATGAGATATTCTCCCAACCACTAGCAATCTCGCAAGTACTTCGAAACCCGGGAAGGGGGAGCGCATGCTTGATACATTCTCTCATGGCACCATGCATGAGACCTTTGTTGGCAGGAACCCCATTCTCCGCATCGTCGCTCTGATCGGCGTAGCTCCATGCGCCCTTTGGCCCCCTGACCCCTTCATGATGTGATCCCATGCAATCCCCACCCTAACTACCCCGACCCATATCTACTATGTGCTTAAGAACCCCAAAAGAATGGAAAAACAAATCCCCTATATAATCCTTACAGAAATAATAAAAGAAGAATATTTTGTCGGGGTTCTTTACGCACTTAGCGGATATTCATGCCTTTGTGCCTTAGGGGAATCAGAGGGTCGTGTGCGATGTTGTCTCAGGGCCCAGCTCTTTTTTCGTGCCCTGCCAATGTCTCAACCAAACAGCATATACAAATCTGAGAAGCATTGCGAAATGAGAAACTCGATCTGGCTCTTTATCTTTCCTCCTTTCTCTCACCCTCTCCCTCTCTCCCCTCCCTCTCTCTCTGGTTCCTCTCTCTCTCTCTCTCTGTCTGTATGTATGTAAATACGTATGAATGTGTGCATCTATACATATATATATATATACATATGTATCTCTCTCCTTCTTTCTCTCTCTCTGTCTCTCTCTGTCCCTCTCTGTCTCTCTTACTTCTGGTGTCTCTGTTGAACTCGCTTCGGCCAAGGTGCTGGTCCAAGATATTGGCCTGGGAGTCTTTGCCTGAACAAGATGCTCTGCACCGTGAGGTCTGGGAAGAACAGGGCTGGTGGGAGGGAAGGGTTTACCCAAAGGCTCCTATGTAGTACCTTTTTGGGGTAGTATACTAGAATCCCCTCTAACTAACCCAAAAGGGAACTACATAGGAGCCTTTGGGTAGGGTTTAGAGGGATGTGAAGGAACTTACAGGTGCTAGAGATAGGGCTGCACGAATGCGCACGTTGACTTAACACAAACCAAGGCCTATCTTCTTGTGCCAAGCCCTTAGCCTCGGAGACCCCTAGCATTTCGTGGATGTCGGGGAACACTTCGGAATCTTGTGCATGGTCTGCGGCTTGGGGTTTTCCACAAAACGTTGCAAGAAGCTGCGAATATCGAAACAGGAACGAATATAGGGGCCTTAATGATAAGAATAGGGGTTTTGGGGGAGTATCATCGTATAATTGTCAAGGGACCACAGGGGATACTGTTCGTACTTATTCTCTATACTAGCTGCGCCGAGTTTCTGAGGCTCATCACAGTGGAAGACTTCTTCTTTCCACTATCAGCAGTCTGAAGCGTGGCTTGCTTCGCATCGGGCGCGCCTCCCAGGTCAGCAAGGACTGGGATCCTCTTAGATTCCTACCCTAAACCCTAAACCCTAAACCCTAAACCTTGCAGCTTCATGCCCAGTGTGTGCACTGGGATCCACCTTTTGCTGCAAGCAGGAGTTTGAAAGCATGGCTGTCACCAAGTTCCGGACATTAGCCAGGTGCGGGTCAAATAGAATTGGAGCGGGGAGGTTGGGGGGGGGGGGGGGTTTAGGGTTTAGGGTTTAGGGTTTAGGGTTTAGGGTTTAGGGTTTAGGGTTTAGGGTTTATAGGGTTTAGGGTTTAGGGTTTCGGAGGGCTGGGGTTTGAGTGAAGAGTGAGTGAGGTGTTCGGATGTAGGAGTGCTAGTTAGTTCTGCCCAGCCTGGCAGGTTCAGCGGGTCATGGCCATCACCGGCAAGTGCCTCAGACCATGCAACGCTTTGAGTTGCAAAGGAGGACGTGGAACAAGATCTTGAACCCTGCCTTCTGGCTACTCCTGCAAGCGCTTGGCATGAATACCGGCGCAGTCCGGTTGAAAACCAGACTGTCAAGTGAGCATCCAAATATACAAAAAACCATGAAATCGTACAGTTGTATAATCCTACAGTTTATAACGAAATAGTATTGTAATGTACCTAAGCTATTCTATGCTTGGGCAGTAAATTTTCCGCACAGTGACTACGGGATCCAAGTTTATGAAGAGCAGTTTTGTTGTTTTTAGTTGTTCTTGCTGGTGTGCCAACAGGACCCCCCATCTATAGCATAGATACATCTGTGTAAACTCACCAATCTCGCTAAGGAGCCCGATCAATCAACTTACTCAGACCAAAACATAAGAATGCAAAACCCTGCTGTTCATGTACCTGTGTTCTTTTTGAGGAGCTGAGTTTAAGTCACCATGGTAAAGACCTTAGATTTACAACAGAACAAGCTTGTACTTATCCTGTGACGGCAACTAAGTTTTCACCTTCTTGACAAGAACCCGCAGGAGAAACTCTTTTCAAGTGAGGGACAGCTACATTTCGGATCGAAACAGTGCCGAACCCCCATCAACCCGAAACACAAAAATGCTCCAAATTTTTACCTGGCGACCGACTCAGAAGCTGATGATAAGCGGGAAAGCCGTTTCGCCTGAAGCTTCGGACTTTCGAGGGCTTTTGGGAGGCTGTTGTGAGGGGATTTGACTTGAAAGATTCTGGCGTGGTTGGTTTACCTAGGGTTTTCAGAGCGTTGTTAGGGCATTCAGGGCTTCTTGGTGTTTGGCTAGGGCTTTTCAGGGATTTGCTGTGCTTTCTTGGAGGGCTTCCAGGTGTTTTCAGGGTTCAGAGGAGACCAATCGGGCTTCTGGCAACTTTGTTAGGTTTTCTGTTGGGGGCGTGTGGGTTAGGGTGTATGGTTTTAGGACAGGATTTGGGGTGTATTAGAGTGCGGCTTTTTGGCTTTGGGATATTAGTATTGTGTTTTCTCTTCTTTTTTGGGGGGGAGGGGTGGGAGGGGGCCTGGGCGTGGGGATTTGAAACAGTTTTGGCGGTGTTCGCAAGCTACATGGGTTCCAAATCTTTCAGCATTTTTGAAAGAAAACCGCTCCGGCGCAAAACTAAGACCACCGTTGACTTTGTTGAGATGTGCATGTCTACTGACCCTGCTGGTCGAGTTGCAATCAGCTTGGGGGATTCTTGGGGCCGCTGAGGAAGGCCCTGCAAAACGGTTCTCGGGCGGAAATCAGTTGCCATGCGAATGAGTCGCTTGCACGAGCTCCCTGCGCGCCACCGCCCTCCCACCCTTTAAGCCATTCTGGCGTGCCGTTGCCGCTGGCAAGTTCTTTATGGGGCGTCCGGCGTGCGTACTCGCAATGCGTCTGTCCCCAACCCGTGGCACCATCAGCTTCCCGGGCCCAGAGGGTCGACATAAAGTTCTATTCTGGAGCTAGGTACCAAAAAGCCTGTGTTGCATGGATTCTGGTCGCTAAGTCCAACATCATAGTCTAAGGGGACCGTCCGCAGAGAGTATTCACCATGAAGCCGCCCAAGTCTACGCCAAACTCGCTGAGCTTGATTTTGCCCTGCTACCCTTTGAAGAGATCTTGCAGCTGCACTGGTGCCCACAGGCAGGCATCAAGCGGCGACATGGGTATTGCACACTTCCTGACGAGCGCAGGGCTCGCGCCCAATCTGGCAGCTACACGCCTAATTGCAGGCGCTACCACCACCATCAGCATCATCATCATCATCATCATCATGATTACGACCACTACTACTACTGCTACTACTACTACTTCTTCTTCTACTTCTACTTCTACTTCTACTTCTACTTCTACTTCTATGCCGTTTTGAGCCTAACCGTTTTTCGTAGCTGCCCGGTGAACCTCGCAACGGAGAGGTCCACAGATATTCCTAGCTCCGTGTTTGAAACCGCCGAATCCCATGTGCAGAGCAAAATCTTCATCGCCCTACCTAATTCAAACAGCGAGGTCTGAAGGACCCTAATCATGTTACATAGCCATAGCGTTCTGCTTTTCATGCTACAAGGGTACTCTCGGAAACTCTAAACCCTAAACCCTAAACCCTAAACCCTAAACCCTAAACCCTAAACCCTAAACCCTAACCCCTAAACCCTAAACCCTAAACCCTGAACTGAACCCTAAACGGCAACCCTGCATCCCCCTCAACTGTGTACATGCAATGCATCTGAGTGTCCGGAGCAGCCGCCGCTGCCGGAGCTCCGCCGGGGGGCACGACGCCTCTCGTGTGGCTTCTTGCCCAGGTTGCAGGTTCAGGGCACAGGGTTCAGGGTTCAGAGTTCAGGGTTTAGGGTTTAGGGTTTAAGGTTTAAGGTTCCCGAAGTGAACCAGGTACCTATGTAAGGAATACCTGCAAAGTAGCTACTACCTGGTCGCTTTAAGGGCTTTAATGTATCTACTATATAGGTACAGGGACCCTTTGGGTTAGGCGCTTCGGGCCCCCAGATAGCTTACGAGTCTTCCATCCTAAAAGAGCCTTCGGTAAGTCCCCTCCCACTTCAAGACGGCAGGGAGTGCGGGTGTCTTCATTAGACTCTTGGAGTATCCATGGCTCTATATTCACCCTAATTAAGGGCCCATGTACCTTGAGTCTGATGAACGTACGAAGCCCCAAGCTCACAAAAGCACTACCCTGTCATGGGCATGTCAGCAACACAGGCTCCAAGCTCTGTTCAGGGCTTAGTTAATATCTGCAATGAGGGTTTCGTATTGCAATTTCGAGGTTTTTTGGGGTATAGGGTTTGAGGTTTAGGTGTTAATCATGACTTTGGGTTCTGGGCTTAGCGTTCAGGGCTTGGGATGCAATTCGGTTGGGCTTAGGGGCTAAGCGGAGATTGCGATCTAGGGCTGCAGGGCTTATCAATTTGCATGTTTTGGGTCTAGTCTACTTTGGGCATACTGTTTGGGGCTTAGAGTTTTGCATCTTCGGGCATAGTTGGCTTCATTCGGGTTTGGGATTTTAGGGTCCGGAGTTTGGGTTGAGGAATGCTTCAAAGGCCAGGACTCTTCAAAGTCTATAGAGTCGACCTCAGGGCCAGAAACTCAAGTCAAGAACTGCGCTGCCTCTGAAAGGCGTCGAGCTGAGCGGTACAAGCTGGTGCCTGAAGTGAGGACTAAAGACCCCTAAACCCACAAAATCCACTTGAGGGGGGGGGGGGGGGGGGTGGCTTCTTAACAAAGGGAATCGATCAACATTCAAGACCCAAAGCCGAAGGCTACCGTAACAAAAAAAACAACCCGGAACCTGGCAACTCGGTGCTGCGCCTAAAAACCGCCCCTGAGTTGCTGAGAGCTATCTCTGTTCGGAGCTTACCTCGGGGAGTTGGGGTTTGAGGTTTTGGAGGGACCGAGGGAACCTGGCGAGTTGGGATTCAGGGTTGTGGTGGGGGGGGGGGGGGGGGGGGAAACAGGGAATCCTCTTGGTAGAGGCATCTTCTTTCATCATGGGGTCTTGGGCTCTCCGGGTAAGCAGCTGCATGGGAGGTTTGACAAGGTTGCAATGGACATATTGATCTTGGTTCCTGTGCACTCTAAAGAACCTAGAGGGCCAGGGTTGATTTGTAACGCAGCCCTACATCTGATCAGTCTGATCAAGCCCCAAGGAAAGTGCGGAATGGAACCAAAGACCAACTCCCAGTGGCCCCAAAAAAACCAGGGTCTACCCAAACAATTGACCCTAAAGCCTCAACCCTGGAAGCCCACAAGCCCTCTGACCATACCCGACAGGGTCCGACGTCCGATAAGAAATCAACAGCCATATAGGTATGGAGGGCAAAGCTCTGTCCATCTAGACTCAGGAGTAACCTAGGAATATAAAGGGTAACCGAATTGGCTGAAAGGGGGGATTCTAAGGGAGCCTAATTTTTTTTTAAAAAGGGAAAAAGGGCCTGCTCTGCCCCTAGCCATTTAGGGTATCGTGTTTAGGGAGAAGGTGTCGGCTTGGCTTGGCAGAGCGTCGGTGTAGAGATCGCCCTCATGAACGCAGAGTCCTGCAGATCAAGTGAAAGGCAGAAGTAGGGTTTAGGGTTTAGTGTTTATGGTTTAGGATCTAGGGTTTAGGATTTAGGGTTGTTTGAGTCCAGTCAGCTCACATCAGGCTACCTCACTGGAGCTAGAATGTCGGAGATGGGTAGTCTGTGTTTCCCAACTTCTCATGGTGATGCGCATTCCCAGAGCCGTACAGAAGCGTTATGGGGTCTAACAGGCGAACGTTCAGTGTGAAGGAGGCCTGGGCGCGGCGCGCATGACGCTCTCGCCCATGAAGGGATGGGAGAAGGGACCCTTCATCTGATTCCCCATACAAAACCTCTCTCTCTCTATATATATATATATGTATACATATATACATATATACATATATACATATACACAGATATACAGATATACAGATATACATATATACAGATATACATATATACATATATACATATATACAGATATACATATATACATATATACATATATACATATATACATATATACATATATACATCTATATATACATATATATATATATATGTGTATCTCTCTCTCTTCTCTCTTATAGTTCCTAGACCTAAGTTGCCCTAATGCAAGCCCTAAGGTCCCTCATAAGGATCCTTCCTTTGGCCCCTTCGGCCTGGGCACCTGGTCTTTGTGGATTCTTGGCATGATCCTATTCATGGTAGCGACCAATGTTTTATTCGTCGTCGTATGTGCCAACTCCTCGGGGACCAAATGAACCCAGCGCAATCTGTTCAAAGAAGATCCTGCTGTTTCCTCCTGTGATGGTTTCTGCCTACCTACTTAAATATAAAACACCCCCTACCCCACCCCCCCCCCCCACCCAAAAATAAACAATAATAACAATATTTACAACAAGAAGGCCTAAACCCCAGAAAGATGAAGGCCACTCGTTTAAAAACACCCTGAACCCTGAAACCCCAACCGGGGTGAAGTCAGCAAGCAGTTCGAGGCGCAGCGAAACGCTAAACCCTATTGACTTCGAGAATTCGGCCAACCCCTAAACCAGAGAATTCAGGTGCCCTTATCAGGATTACTTGGGCAGCATCATAAGGCAGCCGAGTCTCCATCTGCAGCATGCTGGGAACCTCCATGCGCTTGGCTTTCTCCTGATGCTCGCCCAGGAGCCCCATATTTCCTGAACCTGAAGCCCCTAAGCTCTAAGCCCTAAACCCAAATGAAGCCGCCCAAAAACGGCTTGGTGGCTGAGTGGGCAAAGATGAAGGGTTTAGGGTTTAGGTTGTGGGGTTTAGGGTTTAGGGAGTCCTGCACGCTTGCGACTTGTGTAGGGTATAGGGATGAGGGGTTGCTACTTGGGGTGATGAGCCCAAGCCCTAAACAAAATAGATCCTATACACCCAGGAGCCCTATAAACCCAAGCCCCGAAGCCCTAAATCGGGGGAGTACTTTTAGGTGTGGGATCCCCTCTTCATCTCTGGCACCTTAAGACAGAACGCTCTTGAGACCTTGACCTGGGTAGTGATAAGCTCAATTCCAGTAGTCTCTTGTGTACCTTATAACCCCCCCGGTTTCGTAGTGAGGCCAGCTCTTGTGCGAAGCTTGCAAGAAATCGTCCGCGACCCCGTGCTGTTTGGGGCCACCCGGAATGATGCGAAGCTTCGGGGGCCCGGAACGAAACAGCAGGGCCCCGGAGAAAGCCTCAGAACGAAGGCCCGGAGCCCTTCAGCTTTGTGAGGCCTGAGGCCCCCTCATCGGGTTTTGGGTCATTGGTTTTAGGGTGTTGAAGCCGCCTGACGAAACACATGTCCCAAACAGTTTCTCAAAGGGATAGTCCGCGAGCTTCACTCGAGCACTTTTGGTAAACTGTTCGGGTGGTCCTGAATTCTCCCGGAGCCGCATCCCAAGCAGAAGGTTAGAATACCTCTGCCCTTCAGCCCCCAGACCTCAAAGCCTGAAGCAAATCTGATTCTTCAGCGGTGCGTCTGGGGGTGGGATGGGGGAGCCCCCTGATGCTGTAAAGCGCGCACAACACTGATTCCAGGGGGCCATAGTATTGTGCCCTGGCCAACAATCAAGTCCCCAGAATTAAGGGGTGTTGAGTAGATGTTTACCTTCTGTAAGCCCCACTGATACTTAGAAGTACCTGTGAACCTGCAAGTAGGTATTGGAGTTGCGGGATCAGAGAATAGATGTCGCAGGGCACCACGCAAAGAAGCAAGAACCTTCCCACCAGGGTAAGGCAAACCTCAATCTTGGGCGGGATTTAGGGTTTAGACTTTGAGCTGTCGGTTCCAGAGCTGACTGCTTCAGCTTACCTGGAATGGTCAAAGGAAACCATCCTTCTGACTTAGCAAAAATTCTCAGCGCGCTGCTCCCGCAACACTCTAAATCCCAACGCTGAACCCCATAAGCCGTGCAAACCCTTAAAACCCTACTAACTAAGCCCCCTGACCCGAAGGCAACCGTAAACCCTGTTCGCCTAGAACGTAGCCCAAGGTGCATGAGGGGCCCGTATATCAGCCTTGAGCTGCTGCGTCCAGGTAGCTGCATCAACGCTTGTGTAGATGGATCCTTGTCTGGGGAACGCTCAACCCGCTAAAGACTAAACCCTGAAAGCCAAGGGGCTTAGGATTTTGGGGGTCCATGTAGTGAAATACACGAAGTAGAATTCAGGAACTTGTAACCCAAGAGATAAGACGTACAACCCAATTTGGGGGTTTACGAAGAATAGGGGACCCTTAATATAGACCCCCCAATAGTAGGATCCCCCAATAAGGTACCCCCCAATATGGTAAACCCCCAGTTAGGGCACATACCTAAACCCTAAACCCTAAACCCTAAACTCTTCTTGGGGTGGCCAGGAGCGGCTTTTTGCCCCCTTGCGGGGCACCAGCAGAGAATTGCGGCGTGGCCTGACCAGGGATGGGTTTAAAGGGCTTGGGGTTCATAGGGTTCATAGGGTTCATAGGGTTCATAGGGTTCATAGGGTTTAGGGTATAGGGTTTAGGGTTTAGGGGGCTTGGGGTTCTCGGGTTCATAGGGTTCAAGGGTTTCGGGTTTCGGGTTTAGGGCTCAGAGGGCTGCGGCTGCTTGGTGAGGCCCTTCAAGGATCCGGCGTTGGTTGGGCGTTGAGCTTTAAGATGCCATCTTCTGGGCATGCAGGCGGGGGCTTTCGCTTCAATCCAAACCTAAACTCTCAACCCCAAACCCCAAACAAAGCCGAACGGCCGATGAGATGCCCCGTGGGACCATGAACCCTGAACCCTGCCTTCGAAACCCCAAAACTGCCCAAAACCTGTAGGTAGGTAGGTGGGTGGGGGGGGGGGGTGCTTCGTAGTACGAACATACAACTAAAAGGCAAGCCTTGGGCTCTTACAAAGTGAACCCTTCATACCTTGACTGACCCTGAATCATGGACCCGAAACCCACCTCGGCTGAGGAACATCTTCCATCTCCGCCGACCCTGCAGACTCTGAGGATCGTTGCCTGGTGCTTTGGCCCTAAACCCTAAACCCATAAACCCCTAACCCCCTAACCCCCTAACCCCCTAAACCCTAAACCCTAAACCCTAACCCCTAACCCCTAAACCCTAAACCCTAAACCCTAAACCCTAAGCCCTAAGCCCTAAGCCCTAAGCCAGGAGGTCCGGAATTCAAAAGGCCTAAGCCTTGCAACCCTCAACCCGCCTACTCTAAGCTCTGGCCCTAGACCTCTGGTTGCTTGGCAAGCCCTCAGTTTTAAGGGCTTCGGGTGTGAGGTGCAAGGTTTAGGGTCTGGGGTTTAGGGCTTAAGGTTTAGGGTTTCAGGGTCCCCTTGTATTCAAGAGTTGCTCAAGTGTGAAGTGTGGACGAGCGCATGGATCAGGCAACTGAAGAACACAAGCCCAATCCCAAAACCCCTGGCAGATCTGGTCAAGTGGCGGCTTTCGAGATGGGACTTCAAGCGACAGCGAGGACCCCTGCCTTAGCTGGCAGAAGAGCTTGGAGGATATGAACCCTACCTAGGGTAGCCTTGCACCTTCAACAAAGGGGGTAAGCTACTTGCCCAATCGGTTCAGGCGCACTTCTTGGTTCAAAGGGTACAAATAGGCTACCCCAGGTAAACCCTAAAGCGATGGTCACTTCTCGAATTTAGGGTTTAGGGTTTAGGGTTTAGGGTTTAGGGGTGTATCCTTGGCCGATGTCGCCTTTCGGTCATGAACATATCTTGAACGCAGCATCGATGCCTAGACTCCTCTGCGGCTTCTTAAATTGGGGTCCCTGTTTTTGGGTCCTGTTTATAGCACGGCACCTTAGAAACATGGACCCCCCAAAGCAACCTTAATTCTAGAGAGTTACCCATACGGTCAGCGGAGCTCTCGCAAGTTTGGGGCTTGTATACTTGACCCTGGACGCCCTACAGACATCCATGGGCCCCAGATTGAACGCAACCCCAAACCTAAGCCTGTTTCGCGTTTGTAGGCCCCAGCTATATAGCGATAGCACGGCCCTCAAGACGGGTGCCCAAAACAAACGGCAACAAATCCAAACCCTTCGGTACGGCGAGCCAGGAAGCTCACGATCATAAGCCTTAACCCTGAACCGATTCTCCCCCTACAACCTTAATAAAACAAAAAAGATATTCTCTTGGGTTTTATTTAAACAAAAATACAACATAATTCCCTAGAGGGATGTAGGAACCCCAAGGCGTGACAGGAGCGGTTTACAGTGCAGGGAGGGGTTGAGGTGTTTCGGCTGCAAGTTTGGGCGCAGCGTCGGTCCCCAACACTTAGCTTTAACACGGTTCGGGGCTTTCAGTGTGCCCTAATTTTGAAGATGTTCAAAATCGATAAACCTAAAGCCAAGACCCAAACCCTTTGTTGGATATCGCAAAGCTCCGGGAATATGCTCTAGCAGGCACGCCGAAAAAAAAACTCGAGGAGATGAGGGTGGTAACACTATCGCAACGCAAGCGAGTGACACTAAGTGGCTTAGCTGCTTCGAGAACGAGCAAGCTAGCCTACACTACACAGCCCTATAGACCCTAAACACCTCACCCCGAAACCCCCAGAATTCTGGGGGGGAAGTGGGATTTGGGATGTGAACCATCCACTGCATGCACCGGGGAGCGACTTGGCGAGTGGGACGGGAATCACCTGAAGAAGGACGAGGTTTGTTTTGCATTTTGGCACTGGGCTTCGGGTTGTGGACTTAGGGTTTCGGGAAGAACGGAAGTGACAAAGGATTCGGTGGTTGGGAGGGTTGTGTGGAAGCAAGGGGCAGCCTTACAGCCCGCCACTCCCAAAAGCCTTCCGAATGGCCACCCGAAGCGCTCTCCACTCTCTTTTTCACAAACCCCCTCCAGCTATAGACCGAAATATTGAGGACCCACCATCGTTGCTGCCAGGCTGCGGTATCAACTCTATGAACATCCATGAGCGCTCCCCAGGGCATTTACTCAAACACTAGGGCGGGCTTCTTTGGTTTCGGATTTGTCGAATTTGGGCAGCAACGAACCTAAATTCTGGTCCCTGAATGTGTACCCCTTTTGGATGCGGCACCTACTACGCAGGGCACCCAAAAAAGCCCAAAAAAAGGGCACCTGTTCTAGTGAATCCCCCCGTGTTTAGGCCCTACACCGCCAAAAAACCCGAATGCCTAGACCCTAAACTCGAGAATCCAATCTTCAGGTCAAAGACCATTTGCGCCCCCCATCGAAGGTTTGCATTTCGTTGCACAAGAGCTGCACATGGTTGGCCAAAATGATTTTTCCCAAGGGGTTTAGAATTGGTGTTGTTCAGGTTCATGGGTAGTCCTAAGTAGAGCTGTAAGAAACTAATTATACTGTCTTGCGATAAACAGTTCGAATTGCAGATACCTTACGAACTAGTAGATGCCCCAACCCCCCCCCCCCCCCCCCTCCGCCCCGCGTTTCTCACGATGAACCTCCATGAGCCCCAGGCTCTACTTTGGAGTAGACCCTTGAAAAAAAAGTACATACTTTTTAGGTATAAGTAGCTATACTAGGAACCCAGAGCCAAAAAAAATATTAAAGTATAGTACAGTACTCCAAAACCTAGTAGGAGTTAAACCCGAAACCCTGACTCAACGGGCCAACGAAAACATCACGAATCGGGAATCGGGAAACCCCCCCTGCCATCGGCTCCTTAGGCAAGGCCTCCTCCCACCTCCCCGGCACAGAGCTTGAGGCTTGCAGCAATGGGCTTCTGTGTCAGGGTGATTCTGCGAAACGCAAATGCCCGAACACCGCCCAACCCTAAACCAGGAACTCTAAACCCTGATTAAACCCTAAACCCTGAACCCCATACCCTGCACCCATCTAATCCAGGGCCGCGTCGCCGTTACGTCCGGGGCGAAGCTGACATTCTCGTCAATCCGACTGTCCCGACTGTCCCGGCGTCCTTGAGTCGTTCGGCGGGGTTCCAGACGGTTGAAGGCTTAAGGTTGGGATGTCCCCCTTTATACTAACAGTCCTTATTGGTACCCCCAGCATAATCCCTATTAAGGACTAGTATAAGGGCCATCCCAAGGTCTACAGAATACCTTCTCCCGGAACACTTTCAAAAAAAACATTGCAAGTCCCTCGTCCGGGCAGCGCGCAAAAGAAAGAACAACGTCAGAGTGACAAGGTCAATACGCAGCCCGTTCCCTAAATCAGGGTCCTTTTGTCAACGAAGCCTGGGAACTGTATGAAATCGGGTTCGGCGAAGTAGGATGGAGGATTCGGCGAGATAGAACCCTAAACCCTAAACCTCGGCGAGATAGAACCCTAAACCCTAAACCCTTTATCAGAAGATCCTAAACCCCAACCCCCGAATCCTGCAGTAGCGCTTCTGGGAGCCACCCCGGAATCGCCGGACCAGGCGCCCCAATCCCCTTGAACTACGAAACCAACAATAGTCACCATGATGACTCTTTTCCCATGATTCTGAGAATCAAGAGCCAAGAAACTTGAAGTCGTTTTAATTATAATCCTGAGATCGAAGCGCAGTCCCTCGCCCTGGGTTCTTGGTTGGGGGGTACCCAAAGGCTCCTATGTAGTACCTTTTTGGGGTAGTATACTAGAATCCCCTCTAACTAACCCAGAAAGGAACTACATAGGAGCCTTTGGCCAGAAGTTTGCGTGGCTTGGCCGCCTGGCATGTTAGGCAACGTTACACACCAGACGCTCACTCCACCTGAACCAAAGCATGGCAAAGCTGCAGCTCCCCCAAACTCCAAGCCCCAACACACCGGGTTTAGGGTTTAGGGTTTAGGGTTTAGGGTTTAGGGTTTGGGGTTTGGGGTTCAGGGTTTCGGGTTTAAGGGCCTGTGAAGTGATCCGGGAGCGTGAAGGGCGTGCGCACCTCTGGGGCGTCTTCGCTTGTCGGGTTCCGCGTCAAGGTTTGAGGCTTCAGGGCCCGATCGAGGAGCCTCAAGAAGGGCTCAGGTCATCCCTTGCAACCGAACAAAATGTTCATGATGATTACTGCCCAAGTACCCACTAAACCCTAAACCCTAAACCCTAAACCCTAAACCCTAAACCCTAAACGCCTGTGTCCTGGTGCTTCGAAGTTCTTTCCGGGCTCTGGGGGCTTCTAAGTAGGAACTGGTCTTCCATCAAGCGTGTTCGGCTTCAGGGCAGAACGATGGCCGAGTTGGGCCTGGGCTTCAGGTTTTCGCATGCTAGCTTTAGGGTTCAGGGCTTGGGGTTTGGGTTTAGAGTTTAGGGTTTGGGGTTTGGGGTATGGGGTTTAGGGTTTCAGGTTTTCGGATGCTGTCTCGAGGGCTAGTAACCAGCAGGTGAGCCTAATTCAGGGGCCCATTCGGAACTTTGGGTTGTATATTGCTGACATAAGGGGATTGCAGGGGATACCAGGGGGACAAGATTGGTAGTTCTTGTCTTGTCGCTGCGCGGCTGGAGTGCGGATATCAAAATCCCTAAACCCTAAACCTAAACCCTAAACCCTAAACCCTAAACCCTAAACCCTAAACCCTAAACCCTAAACCCTAAACCCTAAACCCTAAACCCTAACCCCTAAACCCTAAACCCTAACCCCTCACGAGGACTTGTCAAAGGACTGCCGCCTCGTCATGCCATTCATCGAGCCTTCCCAGAGCGAACCCCTAAGCAATAAAAGATAAGCTAATAGGGGGTTTAGGGTTTAGGGTTTAGGGTTTAGGGTTTAGGGTTTGGGGTGGAATCCCTAGCCCATATTACCCTTCTAAGGAAGAATATTGTGTTTTCTTTGTTTTGCGGGGGGGAGGGGTGGGGGGGTTCTTAAGCAAAGCCAAAAGGAAACTGAAGGCTCCTTCGCGGTTTAAGGTTTTTGGGGGGTGTTTGGGGCTTGGGGCTTGGTGCGCAGGCCCGCAATGGCTGAATATTCTCTGGGACCCTTAAGGGCTTTAAGGGCCTTTAAGGGCCTTCTCTCAAAGGCCTTCTTGGGCCCTTAAGGTGACCAGCGAGTGGAGGGGCCGGCGGGGGAGGGGAGGGAGGTGCCAGCGGAAGATGGCACTTAACTCTTACGACTGCATTTTGGGTTTGAGCGTGCTCGTAGCCTAGAGGCATTCATCGCGCCCAAAGCAGAAATGAAGTATGGAATCGCAAAAGAAGGAACTGCTCAATCATTAACAGGCAAACAAAGCAACTGAAAGCTAAGCAACTGACCAAAGGGCTGAACAATCTAACTAGCATCGCCAGGATACCTAACGTAACAAACGTTGCTAACGATAAACTCTGACTCTAAACGCCAAGCTGTAAAGTATAAACTCTTAACGCTACCTCTAGTATCCTCCAGTGGCCAGCTTCTCAAATTACATACGTACTTAAAGGCAAATGCCCCAATCCGTTGCCTAAACCATGAAAGCTGCGCATCAGCGATGGCACAACATGATGTATGAAGAATGCTTGGCTACTTAACAAAGGTGTAAACAATATTAAACAATATTCATGATACCAAACACAATAATTGGAATTGGGGAACTCATGTTGAAAACCCTGTATGCTTCGCCATCTAACATTGATTATAAACAATGGGGTTCAAATCAATAGAACTCTTCAACATGAATCAATCGGCACCTCATCGTGAAACAAACTACCATAAATCCGTCAGATGAATGTCTTTGTGTGTACCTAGTGGTCGGCTTTCGTGCTTCTGTTGCCTATGCGATCGCAACACACACAACAAAAACACAGTACAGCGCGATGCTGGAAGAACAGATACACCCTTAAAACCCTCTATAGACCCTTTTTCAACCCCACAGACATAAACCCCACATAAACCCTATGTAAACCCTGTATAAACCCTATATAAACCCCACATAAACCCTATGTAAAACCTATAAAGCCCATAAACCCTATAAACTCTACAAACTCTTCGACAGGCCTCTTCAGGATCTGCTCCAGCTTTGCTTCGATGGCATCAAATCTCCCGTGCTGCGTCTGAAGAAGATTGCAGATGCCAAGTCCATCCTCATTGAGCTCCTGAGGGTCCATGTACCCTAAACCCTAAACCCTAAACCCCTAAACCCCTAAACCCCTAAACCCCTAAACCCCTAAACCCCTAAACCCCTAAACCCCTAAACTCCTAAACCCCTCAACCCCTAAACCCCTAAACCCCTAAACCCCTCAAGGTCCATGAACCTAAATCGTTTGCACTTGGGGCCCCAATTGTCACTATTCAGGGGATCCTTTGTAGTTGAAGCCCAAGCAGACCTTCAGGAACACGGACCCTTTCTCTACTGCCACAATCCCTATTAAGGTATATGAACCATAAACCCTTTTAGGGTTCATTTCGTGGGGTTTGCAAGTGCGAGAAAGGTTCCAGGAATAGAGGGTCCAGAGTCAACCCCAAAACCCTAAACCCTCAACCCTCAACCCTAAACCCTAAACCGCAAACCCTAAACCCCAAGCTCAACGAAGCACTCAGGTGCGCCAAGTGTACTATAGGGGACTCAATCATTAGAATATGGTTTTGGATGATTTTGTAGTATGTTGATATATGGGGCTATGAGGGGATACTATGCGTAATTATTCCGACCCCTAAAGTAAAGCTGTTCAGGTCCGAGAATTCCCATCAAGCCTGCAACATGCAACAGTGGCTAAGGGTTGAAGGTGCATCACAAAGCCGGACGGTTAAGATACAGCAACATGGTCTTTCTTGGGCAGCTTAGCCTAGTGATCTGGAATGACGAGGCATCGCAACGACCACCAACAGCTTTGCGTTCACGTAAAGTAGTCTGCAAGAATCCTAGCAGCACATGTCGGAACATCATCGGGGATTCCTCGGGACAGCACGATCGGCAGAACTATCTTCGTCATCCTACCAGAGCAGCACAAGCCCAAGCAAGTGTCCGAGTGGTTGCAGGCGTCTGTGCATGCCCCCTCTGTGCCAACCATTCTAGGGATCGCAACAGGCCGGGGGTTGAGACGACAGTAACACTAAAAATCTCGATGACTGGTCTTCCAGCATTGCCTTGAAGAACTTGCCCTCACTTGCAACTCGATGCACGACTAGAACTGTTATTCAGGACTTCTATGCTAATCATGGCTATAAGTTCTTGCAGCGCATGAGGCTGGACTGAAAGCGTTGCGGCGGGTGAGAGCAAACATGCAAGCAGCCTTGGCCCCTATACGGTTCAGGTGGTCAATGCTCCGGCCCCAAAACCACAACGTCGGAGTCCAAGAGAACACCAAAAAACACTCCAAGACCACCCTAAAAACACGCGGGGACCGAATGAACCCGAAAATTGGGGGTCATACACTCTATACTACTATAGCGTCCCTATTAAGGTACATGAACCCTAAAATTGGAGTCATTTACCATATACTACTAGAATCCCTGTTCAGGCTTCTGAACCATCAACCCTTTTCGTCTGTTAGTTACCTCATTCCATCATAGCATGATACGTGGACACACTGGCTAGTATACCTAAACCTAAACCCTCTAACCTTGAAACCTAAACCCCAAGCCCTTGAAACTGTCTCAACAAGTTCAAGCTGTAGCAAAGCATAAGGCGGCCGGTAAGTTTTCCTCACCCCAAGTGGAGCGATGATTCCTCTGAATCCTTGGGATTTAAAAGCCACAAGCTCCCAACAAGAGCTTAGGATTTAGGTACCTCACCGAAACGACACCGCTCCGAACAGCAACGATGCCGTTCGAGAAAAAACCGCAGGGGTCCTTGCAAGGCACGTAGGTTTGGGTTTAGGCTAACAGCTTCCTTAAGCACCTCCCCCCCTAAACCCTAAATCCTAAACTCTACACAGCACAAACATCAAACCCGAAACCCTCTTCCTCCGCCCACAGCGTCCCGGCCCTGGGGACCAGCATGGCGGAAGGCACCCTGAACGGGATCGGCTTAGGCTGTCAATGTTCCAGTCTGTTGACTTTGGCGTTTAGGCTTCTTAATCACGGTCTTTTATCGCCATTGCGGTTATCGATATGTTCACGTTTGTGTTTTTGTTTTTTTTGGAGGGAGAGACTTCAAGACTACGGGGCCCCCCTCCCCCCCAGGCGTATTCGGATTGACTTTGAGACTTCGAGGCATTGCATAGAACACATCGGAGGGGTGTGAGGGGGGACGTTGGCATGCTCCCTTGTCAAGGGCCTATTTCGGGGGAGTATGGGCCCTTGCACATCCTGGCTCGTTGTGAGCATTGTGTTCTCTCCTTGAGCTCCCACTCTCACTCCCTCGCTCAATATCTCTCGCTCTCTCTCTTTCTCTGGCCCTCCGTTTATCTTTCTCTCTTTCTCTTTTTCTCTCTCTCTCTCTCTTTCTCTCTCTCTCTCTCTTCCTTCTCTCTCTTCCTTCTCTCGCTTGACCTGCAAGCAAGCTAGGAACAAAGAGCAGTCAATTCTTGCATAGCGGGGTTGGTACGGAAACCTAAACCCTAAACCCCTAAACCCTACATCCTAAACCCCTGAAGCCTAAACCCTAAACCCTACACACAGAATGCCGGGATAATTTGTTCTTGGGATCGGATAAGGGCTTTAGGCTGTCGGGTTGCTGGAACTTGCTCGAAGGGAACCTCCTGGAAAGCCCCTGAATAACCTAAACCCTAAACCCTGGAACCCTGAAGCCTAAACCCTAAACCCTAAACCCTAAACCGTAAACCCTAAACCCTACCTAAACCCTAAACCCTACCTAAACCTTAAACCCTAAACCCTAAACCCTAAAACCTACAAACCCTAAACCCCAGAACTTCTTTTTTCTCAGAGCTTCTTTTGGGATCCGGAGCTGCGTGTAGGGCGGCTCTAGGGCTTCGGGTGGCTCCGGGATTGGCAGGCGAGGCTGACCCTTGAAGTCCTTTTAGGGTTTAGGGTTTAGGGTTTAGGGTTTAGGGTTTCGGGTTTAGGGCTTAGGGTTTGGGGTTTAGGGTTTAGGCAAATGCACCCCACCAAGATCCTGTTCTGCCCAACTTGCTAGCAAGGAAGTGTACGAACTAACTACTCCATGGGCCTGCCTGCCGGGCCTCTTCAGCAACCTCCAATATAGGGGTCGGAATAATTACCAATAGTATTCCCCTATGTTCCCTTTATGAGTATCCTATAATTACCCCCCAAGACGCCCTTTCTAATTATTCTTGGGAGGGTGGTAGCCCTAAATCCTAGACCCTAAACCCGAAACCCCTCGGAGGGGCAGTGGGAAAAAGTTCGCTCTCTACCGCCTTGCGAAGGCTGGAAGATGCTCGCGTCGGGCCAGGATTCGGAAGACCAGGTTTAGGGTTTAGGGTTTAGGGTTTAGGGTTTAGGGTTTAGGGTTTAGGGTTTAGGGTTTAGGGTTTAAGGTCTAGGGTTCAGGGTTGGCGCACGTGAGGCTATGGGTTGCATGCTGTATGCGGGTTAATCCGGCTCATGTGTGTTTGCTTTATTCTGTTCTTTTGGGCGTCTTGAGTCTACCTGAAGAAACCTCGGGTTCACCCTCAAAAAGGGGAAGTGCACCTTCTTATTCTTGGTATATTTACCCTTGTTTAAAGGCTCAAGGTTAGGAATAGGGTGCTGAAAGACTCATCATTTCAAGCGACCCCATATCTGCAGCTCGAGCGTCCTAATTCGAGTTTAGGGCTCAGGGCTCAGGGTTCAGGGTTTAGAGTGTAGGAGAGTAGGGTCTAGGCTTCCATGGTTCAACCAAGAAAAAAAAGGTGTGTGAATAGAATGCAGGGCATTGGCTCAAAGTGAGCTGCGCGCGACGTGGGTTTAGGACCTAGGGGTTTGGTAAGTCCATTTCATACACCCTGAACCAACCCAAACTCCAAACTCCAAAACCCAACCCGAAACCCCAAACCCCAAACCCTAAACCCTATAAACCCTAAACCCTAAACCCTACTCAAGGAAGCCAGGCTCAGTTCTGCGCCACGCATGGCTTAGCCGAGAAGCGCTACATCCTAGGCACCCCAAAATGGCCGAAGTGCCCCCTGAGCCCTAGAAAACCTTGCCCGAAGACCCCGACCGACACCCTATACCCTGAACCCTAAACCCCTAAACCCTAAACCCTGAACCCTAAACCCTAAGCCCTAAACCTAAACCCTAGCAAAAGGGATAGCGGAGGAGGCTTTGGGTAGCTTTCGGGGGGG